GCTGGGTACCAAAACGGCTTTTGCACAGAAAGAGCCACCAGATTGTTAGCTAGGAGATGGACTGAGATGCATGTTATGTTGTAATGTACCGGAAGCATCTTAAGTAAAGTTTCACTGACTGTTCTTGAGCCCGGTCTGAAGTTATTCAAGGGGTGCATGGTGGTAAATGGCGTATCAGAAGAACAGGGTCTGTAAAGCAACCATGGGGTGTAAAAACAAGGCCATTACGAAGAGTTAACTCGGCAGGAGAGTTGGAGAATGAAATCACTTGCCATGGGCAACCAAGAGCTGATGGGTATAGCAGCCGGTATAGCGTGGTACCCGGCTTAGGGAACAGGTCCTCCAGTAGCGAGAGGGTCGGTGTTCTGGCTCCCTCCCTAGCAGTTGGTTCCCCCAAGGTATCTGGGACCAAACCCATGGTACAGAGATCTAGCTGCGAGGTACGGAGAGAACAGAAGGAGTTAATAATGTGCACGCATGAGGTCTGCACCAGTGCTCCACGGGACCCCCATTCTTTCACTGGTAGTGAGGTGGCAGAGGTACGCTGGACTGGTGGAGGGGGCATGGGCGCAGGAGTGTGCCTCCTAAATGCAACATACCGCACATTGGGCCAGGGTGTGTAGTAACATGCAGGGCTGCTATTACAAACTATGGGGCCCTATACAGCCAACCTGACAGGCCCTCTTTCCGCCCCCAAAAAACCACAGCTTACTATGCTTCAGGTATGAATATGAATGAACACAGTGAGTAATCAGTACTGATCACCCATTGTGTTCATTCGGGAAAGGAAGGGGCTGGTAAATGTGACATTTTACTGGACCCTTCCCCTGCTCTCCATCCTGAGGAATCCTATTGTGTACTTGCAGCTGCCAGTGGGAAGGAGAGGATGGCAGCACTGTGGGGGTGGGGACACACACGGGGGCCTGGACAGCAGGTGGAAATGTATGGTGTACAGGGAGAGTGAGGGTGGGGGGGGCAATTACTGGAACCGATCCCCTGTATGGTGTTCCCTGCAGCAGCTGAAAGCCAGGGGAGGGAGAGGAGAAGAATCCATCTTTCAGCTGCTGCAGAGAAAGCCATACAGGGGTATTCCAGTAATTGCCCCCGCCGTGCCGATCAACCTCCCTGCCCACATCTGATTCACCCAGCGCCTGGGCCCCTCTGCTGGCCTGGGCCCCGTACAGGATGACTTGTGGTACCACCGTATCCATGGCCCCGGACAACAACACGCATCACAGAGGGGCTCTGTACATATAACTACTGCACACAATGTACTGCTCATCTCAAGCTGGGTACCACCATAATGTTGGCTTTCACATGAACTCAGCCCTGCCTAGATCCAGGCATTGAAGAGCACAAGCACACAAGGGGAACCCCCAAGTTCAGGGCGAGTAGGTCCCCCACCACAACTTGTTCTACGCCCTACAATGCACTGCACTGGTGTACACCAAGGCCATTGGCATCCATGTTAACCACTGTCCATGTATTATTGATGCAGAATTAAAAACCTAGAAGGCTACATCTGGTATGGACCTGCCCTCAATGGACACCCTGTCGGTGGGAGCTGTTGGGGAGATAACCAGAGGAGCTTTACAACTTCATGTCTGCATTGCAAACTTCAGGAAATAAAACTGCATTGTAGGTAAATGGCCGTCATATCATGTTTTAGTAAATCAGACCTATGGTGTCCTCTCCCAGCTCTCAGTGCTAGACGGACATTAACACCCCCTCGCCCTCCTGAGGATTCCACCCCCCTTCCTGACCAGGCCATTTTCTGCATTACGGCGCTGCGTTACTTTAACTGGCAATTGCGCGGTCATGCAATGCTGCACCCAAATGAAGTTTACGTCCTCTTTTTACCACGAATTGAGCTTTCTTTATGTGGTATTTGATCACCTGTGCATTTTTTATTTTTTGCGCTATATAAAAAAAGTCTGATGATTTTGAGGAAAAAAAACAATATTTTTGACTTTTTGCTATTAAGCATGTCCAGTAAAAATTAAAAAAAAATCAAATTTTGTCATAAATTTCAGCCAAAATGTATTCTGCTCCATGTCTTGGTTGTGCTGTGCATTCTAACACTGGGGGGGGGGGGGGGGGGCTGACTTGGTGTCCCCAGTGACACTAATACAGTGGTCAGTGCAGTGGTGTATTTCGGTTTTTGTGCTGCCCTAGGCAACACAAAAATTGGATGCCCCCCCTCCCAGGCGTAGAGAGCTCGACATCAACCAACACCAGACTCCCTTCCCCCCCCCCCCCCACAGAGGTAGCCTGACAGACAGTGCCGAACAACACCAATGCCCCATCATCATAACCCCCCCCACCTGAGAGAGCCTTTCCCTAACACCCCCACCCCTGGCGACAGATAGAAAGACACTCACCTTTACAGCTCTGGACATCCCCAGGAACAACAGTCGGGCTCTGCATACATCATCAAGCAGCCTCTTTCAGATCCCATCTGGTCCCCATACTGATATGTCCCTTCTTCCAGGGGGCAGTGCTGCCCCCTAAAAAAATGCCACCCTAGGCAAATGCCTTGTTTGCCTTATGGTAAATACGCCCCTGGATCAGTGCTAATAAAAAGCACTGACACTGTACTAATGGCACTGGGCAGGAAGGGGTTTAACATGGAGACCATTCAAAGGGTTGTGCTGGGAGTGTTTTACTAGGGGGCAGCGTATTGGTGCTTCACTGTAAGCACACTGATCAGGATGGCTGTGCTGTGCATTCTAACATGGGGGGAATGTGGGGGGTGGGGGGGGGTGGCGTGGAGTGGGGGGGGGAACTGACTTGGTGTCACTGACATCCCCAGTGACACCTATACTGTGATCAGTGCTAATAAAAAAGCACTGACACTGTACTAATGGCACTGGGCAGGAAGGAGTTAACATGAGGGGTGATCAATGGGGTTGTACTGGGTGTGTTTTACTAGGGTGGTGTGTTGGTGCTTCACTGTAAGCACACTGATCAGGATGGCTGTGCTGTGCATTCTAACACTGGGGGGAACTGACTTGGTGTCACTCACATCCCCAGTGACACCTATACAGTGATTAGTGCTAATAAAACGCAATGACACTGTACTAATGGCACTGGGCAGGAAGGGGTTAACATGTGGGGCGATCAAAGGGTTTGTGCTGGGAGTGTTTTACTAGGGGGCGGCGGTGTGTTGGTGCTTCACTGTAAGCACACTGAATCAGTATGGCTGTGCTGTGCATTCTAACACTGGGGGGGGGGGGACTGACCTGGTGTCACTGACATCCCCAGTGACAGCAATACAGTGATCAGTGCTAATAAAAAGTACTGACACTGTACTAATGGCACTGGGCAGGAAGGGGGGTAACAAGAGTGGGCGATCAAAGGGTTGTGCTGGGAGAGTTTTACTACGGGGTGGTGTGTTGGTGCTTCACTGTAAGCACACTGATCAGGATGGCTGTGCTGTGCAATGTGCCCTGAGCTGAGAGGGAGGAGGACTGTTAGTAAACAAATCAGTCTTCCTCCAAGTCGGAGATGATCGCTAATCACCGGGGCGCCCGGCGGGGTAATCACCGCCGGGACCCGGTGATTGACAGACATGACCGCAAATGGCGACGCAGGTAGGGTGTGCGCCCCCTACCCACGCAGTATATAATATATGATTTTGTGCACCCGCACCCCCTGTAGCAGTATATCTGCTATAGGATGGACGGGAAGTGGTTAATAATATAAAAAACTTCCTTCTTTTAACGCTGAGCTCTCACAGATTTCCTGTCTTGTACCGCATGCATGATACAGATCAGTCTCAGCTGTCCACTGACATAATCGACTTACACATTCCACGCGGACAGACACAATGTTTCCATTCTACCTCTGGATGGTCGTGTTGTTGACTCTTCAGAACTGTAAGGATGTCCTCATTTTGTTTCTCTAGTCATTTATCGATCACTTTGACCATCACAGGAGATTCCATTTACTGACTTTTATAGAGTAATGAACAAAAGTAGCAGAATATTGATGGTAGATGAAGAGTTCTACTTCCTGAGCAGACAGATTGGCTAGATGACTGGGGGTTTTCTTACATCTGAAATTCATACCATGTATAGGGATCCCTGCATTGAAAACTCACTGACACCAGGATACGTACGGGTGTGTTGTGTGTCTGCTTTGTATTGTCTCTTACATCTACTGATCCACAGTTGATCATTTCCCGTCCATGTCTCCCTCGAGTGGTCACCTCTAGGTCTCTGCATGATGAGGATTATCACCATATTGTTCTTTTTTTATACGTTTTTTATGCAGGTTTTTTTTTTTTTCTCAGAGAAGAGGTCTGGAAACATCCCCATTCTGAGTCAACTTCTTGCCTCCATACTACCGGCCCCCCCCCCACCTTCCCCTAATAAAATAGATTCCATGCAGCCAGCAACGATAGATTCCCCAGCAACAATGGACTCTCAACAAAATACTACACCCCAGCAACCATAGACCCCCAGCAATAAACAACAGATCCCCCAGCAGCCAACATCAATAGACTCTTTAGCAGCCAGCCCCACGGTGGCTAAATGGTTAGCACTTCTGCCTGGCAGTACTAGGGTTGCTGGTTCAAATCCTCACCGTGGCACCACCTGCCTGAACTTTGCATGTTCTTCCTGTGCCTGTGTGGGCTTCCTCCCACACTCCAGAGACATGCTGGTAGGTAAATTAGCCCTAGTATCTGTATATGTGTGAGTTAGGGACCTTAGATTGTTCACACACCTTGAGGGTTTATGGACTGATGTGAATATACAATATACAGTCAGGTCCATACATATTGGGACATTGATACAATTCTAAAATTTTTTGCTCTATACACCACCACAATGGATTTGAAATGAAACGAACAAGATGTGCTTTAACTGCAGACTGTCAGCTTTAATTTGAGGGTATTTACATCCAAATCAGGTGAACGGTAGTGTAGGAATTACAACAGTTTCCATATGTTTCTCTCGACTAAACTCCCCCCAGATCCTTCATCCTCCCCACAATGACTCCCAGCCCCACCCAGAGCCTTCCAGCATTTCAATACATATTTTATTTATTTGTTGTTTTTGGTGAGTTATTACATTTATATTTTTTTTTACTGTTGGGTCATGTTGGTTTTGTAGGAATCTACCAGGGCCCTGGTCTCAGTATAGGTTGACAACCCTTGCTTTAGAGCTTCCCAGGAGAAGGACAATGGTAGGCCAACGTCAAAACTGCAGCTCTTGAGGGATGTTCCCGGTCTGCATTGGTCAGGACTTGAGCAAAGGAAGAAAAAAAAAACAGTAAAAGGGAGACAGGGCCCATGGGCGGCCAAGGCTCATTGGTGCACATGGGGGAGGGAAGGCTGGCCCCGTAGTCCGATCCAATAGAAGAGCTTGCATATAATGAAATTGTAATATGATGTAATGGCTGGTGACCGCTGACACCAAGTATTGTTCTTCTTTATCAGATGTGATGAGTGAGACCCCTGTGAGAGAAATGTAAAATGGCGCTGTGGGAGGAGCTGTCACTCTACAAAAGTCAGCTTACACTGGGGTCAAAAAAATTCTTTGGACTTTTGAAAAAACTGGTGCTGCTATCGCCACAACAAAACCAGGAGAACCTAGGTTTGATATTGAAAATAGAGAGTATAAAGGAAGACTGAGCAGCACATCTGATGGATCCTTAATCATAACTGAGCCGAGACTAGGAAGATCGGGGGGACCTACCGGGGACAAAATCATCATTGGGGAAGAGATACCAACCTGCAGATACCATCTCACAGTGTTTTTCAGGGGTAAGTCTTATCTTTAGCAATGGCCGATTTGACACCAGACACGTGATCATCTCCTGTACCGTAGTCTGCAGATCTCTGGTCTATCTCCTGTACTATGTCTGCATGTCTTGCTGGTCGTCTTCCTGTACTGTGTCCGCAAGATCTCTGGTCATCTCCTGTAACCCGTGTCCCGCAGTCTCTTGGTCATCTCCTGTACCCGTTAGTCCGCAGTACTCTGGTCATCTCCTTGTACTGTGTCTGCAGTCTTGGTCATCTCCCTGTACTGTTGTTCGTAGTCTCTGGCCTTTTCGACTCTGTACTGTCTTGTCCGCAGTCTCTGGTCATCTCCTGTACTGTGTCTGCAGTCTCGCTGGTCAATCTCCGTGTACTATGTCCGCAGTCTCTGTCATCTCCTGTACTGTGTTCCGCAGTCTACTGGTCATCTCCTGTACTGTGTCCGCCTCAGTCTCCTGGTCCATCTACTGTATATATGTCCGCTAGTCTCTGGTCATCTCCTAGTACTGTGTCCGCAGTCTCTGGTCATCTGCCCTGGTACTGTTGTCCACAGTCTGTTGTGTTACTAGACCTGTTACGTCTGCAAGTCTCTGTGGTCATCTCCTGTAACTGGCGTCCGCAGTCTCTGGTCATCTCTGCAACTATGTCCGCAGTCTCTCGTGGTCATCCCCTGTACAATGTCTGCAGTCTCTGGTCATCTCTGTTACTGTGTCCGCAGTCTCTCTGGTCATCTCCTGTACTATGTTCTGCTGTGTCCTCTGGTCATCTCCTGTACTATGTCTGCAGTCTCTGTGTCATAAAACTCCTGTACTGTGTCCCAGTCTATGGTCATTCTCCTGTACTATGTCTGCAGTCTCTGGTCATCTCCTGTACTTTGTCCGCAGTCTCTGGTTCTGTCCTCCTGTACTATGTCCGCAGATCTCTGGTCATTCTCCTGCGACATGTCAGACGCAGTCTCTGGTCATCACCTGTACTGAGTCCGCCAAGGTCGCTCTGGTCATCTCCTGGTGACTGTGTCCGCAGCCCCCCCCCTCCCCCCTCTGGTCATCCTCCTGTACTGTTTTGTATGTTCCCGCAGTCTATTGGTCATCTCTGTGTACCGTGTCCGCTGTCTCCTGGTCATCTCCTGTATAGTGTCCGCAGTCTCTGGTTCTTCTCCTGTACTGTGTCCTGCAGTCCTCTCTGTTCACTCTCCTGTACGATATCTGCAGTCCTTTGGTTTAAAAATATTTTTTTCTTGTGTTTCTCCGCCTCTAAAACCTAGGTGCGTTCTTCTGGAGCAAAAAAAATACGGTAGGTGGAGGAGTATTTGAGGAGGTATCTAATGTGATTTTTTCTGACAGAAAGGAGGAGATAGAAGGGAAGGGTACAGATATAGATAGGATCATCATCGAGGAACACGAGAAGAAACTAGGACATTTGGCTATGGACTGGGGTAATTGGAGGGGGGGGTAATTGACAATTAAAAAAAAACAAATATTTTTTATTTACTGCTATAAACATACCTAATAGAAAAAAAATTAAAAAAGTGATTTCTACATAAATTTAGCCAATATTTTTCTCTGCTACATTAATCCAATAAGCGATATATGATTTGGTTACCAGCGGTCTACTACATGGCGGTATATATAATGGTCCATTTTTTTTTTTACAAACTAGTAATGAGCGCAACAGGTTGTGTTGTAACTGCTAGCAGATTGGGTGAAGGACCTGTGGCACCCATGGCCTGTACCATCACTCCTCTGCAGTTGACCTGTTGAGAAGACTTGACATTTTTCATAGAAGGGGTAGAGAATCCCAGATGAGGAGCAAAGAGAAGTTCTCCCTTTTTTAGATTGGGTTCTACAGGTGGTGTTGCCCAACGGGTTGCATGGCAGGTCCTCATATGGCCTTGTCAATCTTGTGGTGCCTAAGTGGCTGGTGTTCTGTCCTTGATCCGCTTCAACAGAGACTGCAAACATGCAACACTGGCGGTCTGCTCAGACTGGTGTGTGTTGAAAAAAGCCCACACCAGAGAACTTTTGGGAGTCCGGCCGGTAGTCAGCAGCACCCTGCCCCTGTGGAGCTCTGCCCGTGTGGTTAGCCATTGATTGACTCCCCTGGAGGGACATCATCCTGCCTTGTTGGAGTTGTGCTCCTCCTCATTTTCCTCCTCTGCGTCTTTCAGGCCCACACACAAGTACAGACAGTGACCTCATCATCTCTTTCCTCCTTTCTCTGGAGCCAACGTGGCATTTGCTATGGTGGGGGGAACATGATTGTGATTTATTCTTCCCTCACTGCACCTACCCTCTCTTAGGGCTCACATCACTCCTATCCTCAGCCCGGAAAGAAATATATGACCATCCCTACTCACCACCATGGGCAGACCAAAGAGCGTCAAGGGACACCAGGACAATCTTGAAGAACCTGCACAAGGCTGGAATGGCTCCATGACCATCTGCAAAAAGCATAGTGAGAAAGGAGAGAATGTTTAGAGGGTTAATGGAGGACAATACAAAAATAAACATCAATCACTCCTCGTTCTGGAGTCAGTTGCAAGATTTCAGCTTGTGGGGTCAGGATGATCAAGAGAAACGAGAGGGAACAGTCAAGGAAAAATAAACCGAGGAGTTGGTGAAGATCTCAGGGCAAGTTGGGACCACAGTCAGCAAACAAACCAATGGGTATCCAGGGGCGGACTGCCAACTCAATGGGCCCCGGGGAATAGGGGATCATGGGGCTCTGTGTCCGTGCCCAAACTCAAAAAAAAGCCTATGAGAAAAAGGGTACCAGGGGCACCTCAAGGAGGCCCCCTACCCGACCCCGGGCCCCGCTCGGGCAGCGCGTTCGAGTTTCCAAATAGTCCAGTCCCGCCTGTTCTGTTAACTACAAAACAACACATCCTCATGGATTGAACTCCTGGAGTGCCTGCAAGGTCCCCCCTCCTCAAGAAGGCACATGTACAGGCCCATCTGAAGTTTGCCAATGAACATCTAAAATGGTTCCAGAGACGGAATTGGGAGGGAAAAGTGCTGTTTCTGGGGGGTGGTCAGATGAGACCAAAAATGAGGCTCTTTGGTCATTTAAGCTCAACTTTCACCGTGTTTGGAGGGAAGGAAAAATGCTGACTAAGACCCAAGGTAACACCATCCCTACAGTCAACCACGGAGGGTTGGACACATTATGTTTTGGGGCTGCTACTTCTGCTATAGATACAGGCCAGACTTATGCCACATTTGAGGGGCAAAGAACAGGGCATGTATTGTAAAATCTGGCTGAGAAACTTTTTCCCCCTCAGCGAGAACACTGAAAAGATGGGTCGTGGATGGGTCTTCCAGCATGACCAATGAACCGAAACATACAGCCAAGGCAGCAATGAAGTGTCTCAAGAAGAACGCACATTAAGGTCATGGAGCTACCAGACCTTAATCCTATAGAAAATATATGGAGAGTGACTGAAACTTTTGAGATGTCAAGTGACGTCCAGAAACACCTTAAGGATTTTAGAGATCTGTAAGAGAAAGTGGACCAAAATGCCTCCGGAGAATGTGTGAAAACTTGGCAACCACTACAAGAAACGTCTTTCACTTCTGTACGTGCTATCCAAGGGTTCTCCCACCAAGTATGAAGTCATGTCATGCTTGGGGATCAAATACTTATTTTGCTCACTGAACTCGCCTCCAATTTATAAACATTTGTATCCATGTGTGTTTTTTCTGGATTTTTGGTTGAATATTCTGTCTCTATCATTTAAAATAACAAATAGCCACAGGGCCCTAGTGGCCTTTAATTTTGGTCCTTTAATTAACATTCTCAATAAGTTTAGCTTTCAAAACAAAATGTGTAATATTCGTGGATTTTTGACACAATCTATAATGACATTTGTAGCACCAGGTTAGGAGTTGTAATACTTTTCGGGAGAGAGCATTTCCAATGTTTTATTGCTCCCATCCTCCAGGTAACTTAGCATTTGAGGATATCACCATCACGTCAATGTGAAGGATAAGTAGGTCGTTGTGAGGGTCATCTTGGGATGTTTCCAAGTACATTGGACGCAATGTGAGCTCGCCTGGAGGAGTGTAAACAGCAGTGGACATTACCACCGACACTCAGCATCACACCGTGGGGAGCGGGACGGCAATACTACTTCTCTGGAGGGATGGTCTGACGCTCAACCCATGACCTGTTTTTATTCTCCTATTAAGGAAACTGACCCGCTGAGGCAGTCGTCATCACATCCAATGTCAACCGTTAATATGACGTGAGAGGTAACATCTTGACGTGATCAGTATATTAGCAGCAATGAAGAGCCGTCACCTGGACGTGTTTAAACTGCACTGACATTAATGTTACGCAGGGCGTTGTGGGTTGTACCGCCAAGTCCATGGTCAACTTCACCTAAGTAATGTACAGCACTAAATAATCCGTCAGTAGCGTCTTCGAAAGATGTCCTCCCTGGAAGGTACTCTGCGGCATGAAGGTAGGTACAACCAACGGCTAATGTATGCAACCTAACGTTACACTCTTCACACACTTCTATTGTGAACCCTGTGCTTTGCCTGCTATTTTGGGCATGTACAGGGCTGGGTACTTGGGCACCCCCCCCCCCAAAAAAAAAGAAAATTAAAACATCAACTGTAATTCTACTTCACCCCTCCTAGCACACATCCTCTTTTGACTCAAATCATCCACCGTAGCAAAAATCCCCCCCCCCCCCCCCCAATCCCACCTCCTAGCACGACCCCACCTCCAAAGACCCTTCCATCTTTCCTCCCCACCACCCACATCCCCCCTCCTAGCACAACTCATAACAATCCCCCCTCCAGCACAAACCCCCTCTACCTGGCACAACCCCCCCCTCCCCCATTTCCCCTTCTAAC